AGCTCAAGGCAATAAAGGCTTTACAACATGTAAGTTCTTGTGGCATAATCTTATAGAGTAAGTTTGCCCTCTTAATCTGATTTTAGTTTTGTGTTGTCTACTTTTGCAGCTGATGGGTCTGTCTACCCTTTAATCTTCAAAGCTTCGTCTTCATCTCTTTCTTTTGCAATGGTATCAAAATACGAAACATCATACTTTTAACCAGGGTATCTTTTCTGACTTAAAGTATCTTTTACTTTCCGGTGTATCACAAGAATAGATGTAGCCCTTTTTAACTGTCATTAACTTTCCTAATTTCTCTGCTTTTGGCAAGTGCTTTTTCAGCATTTAGTGCATAGTCTTCTTACCAGTTGGAGGGAGAGAATATTAAGTGTTTACTGAAATACGTGATGTGAATCTGTTACTGAGTAGCATTCTGGGTTTAAAATAAATGTACTGTCCTATTTTATATACACTTTTTTCTTTTTTGCTTACTTGTCAGAAAATAGTGGCAGTTCCAGCATCAAAAATGGTTAATATTCTCAACTGCTTCACATTCAGTAAAGATAAACTTATCGCCCTTGAAATCTTAGCTTCGTAAGTATCTCTCACATTATATTCCCTTAAGTTACATTGGTTTTACTAATTTTTCAGTATATAAAACTTAAGGTAATCCTAGAAGGAAGCACTGTGGCCAGTTAAGGTGAAGCACAAATCCATTATTGATGGGGCTGTAAAAAGAAGAATTAGAAGTAGACATTGTGCAAAATTCTGTAGTTCATCTGCGTCTTGAGGTGCCCACATGCTGCTATGTGGGCTTCTGACAGCTGAAAAACTGCCACTTTGCCAATATTTTATACAGTGGTCTTCAAATCTTGTAGAGAATGAAGAGGGCCTCAAGCTTATTTCTGCTCACTGAAATGTAAAAGGCTTGAGACCAGAGTATTCTGGGAATTGGCCCTTTTGCATTTGAAAAACCCTCTAAATATTATATATGTAAAAATGAGTTAAGTAGATATATCTCTTAAATCGACCTTTTTGATTTACAGATCTAATGTCTATAAAAGCTGTAGAGATATTCTAAATGCATGATTACACAGAATGTCGAGGTTTTTTACTGAACACAGCTGCTTCAAAGGATCTACCTTTTACACATGTTTATACTGGAACTCTTCTGCCTCGTTTAGGGGATTTACGATATGTCTGCCTTGCATATGAATGCTATATATTACAGCCAGCCTGAACACTTTGGGGCATATACATTTGTTATATAAATATCTGTAAAACAAATAAGACTGAGGATATAGACATGATTTTGCTTTCAGAGTTGAGCTTTAAGAAGCTGTATGAATGCTCCTAGTCTCTTTCAGACCAAAACAAGACAGGGTAGCCTAGAGGAAGTTCAGTGGTGCATTAAACTAACCTGTTTTGCTTCTGGAAATGAGATTGGAGCTCATAGACTCTTTAGTTGCTACACTTCAGCTGGTGTGGGGGGAATGAACTGTTGTGATGCAAAACTAATTTTATCAACATAGTTATTTTTGCCATGAAGTTTAGCCATAGTTATCCGTTGTTCTGTATTGATATTTAATTCTAATACTCTGTATTGATATTTAATTGTAATACTCTGTATTGATATTTAAACCTAATAGCATGCTTCACTTACAGGTATGAAGTCCATATTTAAGCCTGGGCTTTTTACTTCAATAATCATAGTAACATTATGATCTGAACTACTTATGGTTTTTTTAATGTCCTGTTAGGTACTGGCTGAATTATTTCTGTGTATTATTTCTGATAAGCGTATGGAATGGCAGTAATCATCTGTCAATGTCTTTATTTATAGCAACATTGTTGATGCTCAGAATTATCGCCTTATTGAAGATCTGTTCAGAATTAATATGTCAGAGAAGAAAAGATGCAGAAGAATTCTTGAACAGGTAGTCAGGATACTCTAGTACCCTTGATTCTGTCAAATACCGTATTGTTTCCATCCCTATGGTCATTGTGGGGTCAGGACTTACCATGAAGAGTGCTGGGAATAACAAAAAGATAACAGCTATGTAATACATGTGCAAAAAAAAGGGAAAGTTTCTGTCAGGCATTGGGATCATATGGAAAAAGGGGCACAGAGTTGCAAACAATGCTGAAGGAAACAGTCTGCATTTGTTTTAGAGAACACCAAATGCTAAGCAGTAGAAACAGAGGTGGTCTGAGTAGAGTTATTTGAAACAAAGGGGATTTTGGCAGAACCTCACGCTATTTGGACTATTTGGGGAGAAGATTTGAGACAAAGCTTTTAATTGTTCCATGTAGGTTGATTCATGCAGTCTAAATGTCATGAAATAGTAATTCATTTCTTTAAAGCATTGAATTTGATAGCAAATAATGTCCTTTCTTGATTATTTTGCAGGCTTCAAAAACGGGTTGTAAGGCTCCTCATGCTATGATATCATCCTGTGGCATGATTCCTGGCAACCCTTATCCCAAGGGGAAGCCAAGCCGCATAAATGGAATTTTCCCAGTAAGCATGATTCTACACTTTTGCTTTTCACAGCATCCGTGATTTCGGATTCCTTATAATACAACCAAAACCAGTATTCATACACATAGAAGGAGGAGTGGAATCAAAAGCAATGTTTTGGGGTTTTTTATTACCCCATTACACATTTATAGGGAACTTGCATTATTTTTATTTGCCCATTTTTTCTGTGCTGCTTCAAGTAAAGATGACTGCATAAATAAGACATTGTTCATATAAGGAAAACATTGTAAACTCCAGCAATATTTGGCAGAATCGGGAGAGGTGTAAAGAGCCTTACTGGTAGGTTGGTAGGATGACCTAATATGGTCACTACAGTACTACTGTTAATCTTAGTGTAGATCTTGAACAACCATGTTAAGTATTTCCTGTGAATGCTTAAGGGACTGCAGACTGTAAGTTATCATGTCCACAAATCAAAATGCAGAATTCTAATTATGTCAGAAACATGGACTGTTTCAGATGCATCTCTTTACAAAAGCTCAGTGTTATAAACCAAGCTATTGGAATACTTATCATTTTACAAGCCTAGAACACAGTTTCTTTTTCCTAACAAGCGTGGTTAAGTATCACTTTCAGAATGTTCAACAACTCAAGCGTAGTTTAGAAAAAAAACCAAATATGGCAGAAATTCTATAGCGAGGTAATACTTCTAAATTAATACTTAATAGTTTAATTTTCTTTTGTTTCAGGGAACCCCTATCAAAAAGGACACAGAGGAATGTACTAATGAAGGAAAGGGAATAGCAGCCCGTATACTTGGACCATCCAAACCAGTATGTCTAATAAATGAGTAAACAAATGAAACTTTAAGAAAAAAAAAATCAGTCGCCAGCCAATTCAATGAGGCTTTATATAAAATGCTATTATGTTGCAATAAGACTGTAGAGCAGCAATTTAAAGAAAGCTAAACTTCTATAATAAAGATAGTATGACCTAGTATTTTTTTATTTAACTTTAAAAGAAGCTCTGGTTTGTATCTGTGGGGGATAGGATTTTCTAGTGGTTGCAATGCATGTGCATTTGAAGGCAGAATTTAAATTACAGTATCAGAAGACAAAACTAAAAGCATTTTTTGTAGTTCATCATGAACTAGTGGAAGTTTCAGATACAAATATATGCAGTTTTTTATTACAATTCCTGAGGGTTCCCCACACAAACATAAGAAATGTCTGCATCTTGGAAACTTGAGTTACAGCAGTGCCTTAGGAGGAGGTTCTTGCTTCTTAACAACACAGCTAATCTATATTTCAAAATTTCTAAGCATGTGGGACAAACTTTCTATGAACCTGATACTACTTTCAAGTATTGTCCAAATGTTTTACTTACACTTTATTATGAGATGTTTCCCACTAAGTTGTATTATTTTAAAGGGACAGGTAACTTCATAAGTATATATTAGTTTTAAATGTGCTAAACCTTTAAAATGAGAAGTCAGTCCAAGACTGCAGAGTGTGAAAACTACAAGGCAGGAAGGAGTTTCCTTTCCCACCCGTGTTCAGTATTACATTAAAATCTAAAGGTATAGTAGTGATGTTTGTTTCATTCTTTGCAGAAAGAGTGAAATATTTGCAGTCACTGTGCATATTATGAAGAAATTTGCTACCAAATATTTTTCCAGTGAAGAACAGCTAGCTGTCTGTAGTAGTATCTGAATGTTAGCTATTTGTCTGAGAAACATTAGGTAATGCTTTCACTATTGCTTCTTCCGTTTGTTTTTTGTTTACGTAGGCTCCATCAACCTACAACCCACACAAACCAGTTCCATACCCCATCCCACCATGTCGGCCACATGCAACTATTGCACCAAGTAAGGCTTCTATGTGTTTTAGCTTGATGCTATTGTTTCATCCATTTGCGTTTTAAGTAATAAGTGTCAGTTTCTCTGACCATGATCATATCTGAAATTGGCTTGCGCTCCCTAAGCATGCTCTGGGTACTGGTTTTCTACCTCTTCCTGTCACGACTGCAGAGTTGATAAAAAGACTTCTTTTTCCAACATCCACGTCATAAGGAAAATTCACAATCCTGTTCTGATGACAAAATATTTCATTTATGGGAGGCATTGTGCATGTTAGACAAGACTAGGACTGTGTCTGTTGTAATGTTTGACCAAGGTTTGGGCTTTGGCTTGACAAGTCTGTTGACTTGTTGCTGTTGTACCAAACTTAGGATATGGTCAGGCACAGCCTTGAATTGGGTGCAGATATGTAGGAGCTTGCTGAAGGATGGTAATTGGTTTCTCAGTTGGAGGGGTAATCTGTTTCTCAGTTGCCTTCAGCTTTACTTTCAGCCATCATAATGGAGAGAAAACAGTTTCCTAAAAGAAAAGTTTAAGCATGTAGATTTCAGAGGGGACATAGTGATTGCCTTTTCCTGTGTTTGGTCTGACTATTCCTAGCCTTGTGCCCCAGGTAAGATTGAGTCTTCCTTCATAAACTCCATTCTATTTGTTCTGCTGCATTAATTGTTTGATTCCAGACCGTTTTGGAAGGGAGGAAGGCAATTGCTTGGAGTACTCACGGAATCTGGTCTTTTTGAGCAGCAGCTGAAAGCTTTTCCTAATCTTGCCATTCTGTACTGCAGAGGAGGAGTGCTCTGGTTAGAAAACTTGCTTTTCACTGATGTTAGGGATTTCAGGGAGTTTTTAAGGTTTTTGATAAGAAAGTGTGGTAGAGCTCTTAGCGTGCATGTTGAAGGATGAGTCATCTGACCAACTTGATGTCTGCAAGTCAGTTTGGAAAAATGGGCACTAGTACTAGCTCAAGTAAGTCTGATGATTTGTGCCCTAGAAATTACTTGTTCCCCAGAAAGCGTACAGGAAACTTGCAGGCTAGCTCAAATTTATATTAAATAAATACCATCCAAAGTAAGTTAGGGCACAAAATTTGACCCGTGACTGTATGTAAGCATTAGTACATTTTCGGATATGAAACAGCTTTTGAGGTTTCAGGCCCTTATTAGGCTGCAGCGTGTTTTTAAAAAAAACTCTTGTGACAACGGAACTCATAACTGGTTATATATTTATACATCTATAAAATGTGTTTAATGAGATTGCAGATACTGACCTGACCACATTCACTACTGAATGTGATTGTTTTCAAGCCATAGTCAGAATGGTCAGAATGATGTTTTGTTTTCTGCCTCTTGTATGTATTGGTTTAACATTTCCTTCCTGGGTGATGCAGTGATTGTTAGTTACTTTTCTGATTTTCAGCCCAGAGCTGTCATGCAAGAAATCGTAACATTAGGTAGAACTATTATGGAAGTGTGAAATCAGAAAGGATTGTGTATGGTAAATTACTGCACTTTGAGTATTGTTCAAGTGCTACCTTTTCCCATGAAGCGTAAGTTCTTATGCTCTTAAAATATTCATTCAGGACCACTGTGAATTGTATTTATGTTCCTGTGATTTAAATTCTGATGTTCTTCATCAGAACTCTATACTGCAGCTATACAACAGTTTGAGTTGCTCCAAAGAATAAGGGAGGAAAAAAGTTGGGGTTTTTTAAAGTTAAGTACAATAAGTATTTTATGTTAAAATAATTTCCTAACCCACTTGAATTTCTTAACATTAAAAGAAGTACTGAAGAATGATGGACAAAGTATTTGAGATGGAACATTTTTCACTGAATTTCCTGACTGGTGTTGAAGGGCTGGTCATGATCACTGGTGTATGTTTGGCTCTTTTGTTTGTCAAGGCTTTGCTTACGTTAAAGGAAGAGTTGCAACAGCCTTTAAGTTAGGAATAGAAAAAGAGCAAATGATGCTGTAGACACTCTGAATCACTCCTCCCCTTTGAGTTTTTCAGGCAAAATGGAACTGAAAGCAATTGAAACCTGACTTTTTCAGGCTCTTTCAAGAGAACTGCCCTTACTAAAATTTGGATCACAATGCATGTCACTCAGGTGGACTTTGGCAAAAGCCAGCATCCAGTGTGGATGATTAACTGCTCTGGCTTTTTGGTGAAGGAATGTCTTACAATCTTGAAAATGTTCTTAAAAGAAAGGACACTTACTGGCTCATTTAGATATGAGTTCTTCTGACAACTGAGACACGTGTTGCATTTGTTCTTTTAGGTGCTTACAACAATGCTGGCTTAGTTCCAATGGCTAATGTCATAGCTCCAGGCTTAGCAGCTCCTCCACCATACACTGCTAATCAAGTGGTATCAGGTAAAGCATGCATACCTTTAAAAATGTTGATGGTATTTTTTCTAATTCATTGTTGTGAATGGATCATTCACTGCTGGAGTTTCATTTGCTTTTAAATAACGATGTGTTGTTCTCTGCTTAGAAAATGAGGACCTTTCCAGCCAGGCAAAACCTTCCCAAAATCAAGGTAAATTGCAAATCCACAGATGTAAACAACTTCTTTGTTTAGTGGGATTTTCATAAGCCTCTTAAGTATTTAACTACTGTTGGAATAGGATCCCTTGAGAATTGAGAAAAAAATAATCTCGGGCATTTGGCACTTAGAAGCATTGAAACATTAAAATTCAGTCTTTTGTTTTAGTTTTATATTATTTATTAAAGTTTTAAAGTTTTAATGTTTATATTCTTCAGCACATAAGTGTGTGATAAATCACGTAAAAAACTCAATCAAAATATTCTTTACAGTGTAGCACACTGAAACACTTCGTTAATATCTTTGCAGTTGTAAAACTTCGGACATCCACTTGAAAACTCATTCACGTTTTAATTTCATATATTAGTTGCAATGGGAAGCTAGGAATACAAGAGAGACAGATTCTTTGTTTATAGTTTGTTGAAATCCATGTGTAGAATGTCTTATCCCAGACTGATATATCCAACTATGTCTACCTGCACTTTTGTCTTATCCTTTAAATTCCAATTCTTTTTGCAGAAGAGAGTTGTGCATTTTTTTGATCTCTATTTTTGTGGTATTTTGTATGCTTTGTACACTTAGTAAAAATCATCATAATAAATCCCATTATGAACTATTTATACAAAGGCTTTGATAATACCTTATTAGGTTTGACAAATAGAAACTGAGATTCCACAGACTATTGAGTCAGGCATATTAACAAACAGCCAAAATAGTTAGGATGACCATGATAAGTTTAGCTCCTGCAGGGAAAAAAAAAAAAGTTATGTTTTGTTTTTTCTCTTCTGTGCCCAGGGATGGTTCCACAGAAATGTTGCTGTTTCAAAACATCATTTTATTCATATATGCCCCTTTAAGTGTGCATGTGTTGGCAAGGTAGTTTATACAGCTAAATGAATACAGGATAAGGAATAAAATCTTCTCTTAGGAGGAGAAACTCACTAACACCTCTGGGTTCCATTGCAGTGGTATTTCTCTGGTGATTATCTTGGCTGTCAGGATTAACAACTGTGATCTTTAGGAGAGTCATCAGCTTGGAAACAGGATGAGGAAAGGACAGAATCCAGAGCCAAGCAATCTGGGTCTAGGTTTTTGGAAAAGAATAATGTAAAAGGAAATTGTTTGTTTGCAAATTTGCAAGTTTTAGAGTTTCAAGATACATAAAACAGGAGTTTGTCATATCAACTCAGGTCCAAGATTTTAAAGATTCCGTTCTTGGGTTTGTGTATGTATATGTAGAATTTGTGCAAGAGAGAAATCTAAGCTGTTCCAGTTATGGGTGATGAGCTTGATTGGTTGGATCGGTGAATTGCTTACAGTTGAACAGCTTATTTTAAAAGTAAAATAAAGTACCAGGGTTGTTTGAGAGGAGTGATTAATTAACACATTCATATTCCACGGGAAACTAGATAGAGGCATATCAAGGCTCTTGACATGCCAGTGTTCATAAATGCAGCTTCTTTCCATTAACCCCTGCATCACCATTCGCAGTGTGCCTGCCTGTTTTCCTCCAGCTTGACTGATGTCTCTCTGACTTACTTTGTAGGGTTGATACAAGCTGATATTCCTAGTGTCAGGTGCTTGCCTCAATTATAGACACCTGACTTCAGACTTACAGAAATACTTGTTGATGAGGTCAAGCGCCAATGTTAGCTTAATACTGTAGTGTGATACATGAATTTAAAAGTGTACCTTCTTAGAATCAAAATCTGAAGGAAACACAGTGAAGAGAATGACCTGATTTTGGAGGAAAGAAAAATACCAGCACCTGAAATCAGCTTTCTTCAGTTGTTGACTAAACTTCTGTGAAATCATGATACATTGACTTAACTGGTTCTGAAGGAAATTCTGACCTTCAGTGAGAGTGGATGCAGAGGAGCCCAGGTGATCTGATGCCAATGAAATATTAGATCTGGTTTGGGTACTGCCAGATGTTAGGGACCAGAGGGAGGGTGTTTACCTGTATTACTTAGACATTCTTACGGACTATATTTGAGTATCTAACTGTCTTGCATGAGATCATGAACAGGTAGCAGATGTCACCAAGTGTTTTAAAGACAAGTGGTAGCCTACATGATGTTCAACTTGTGTGATGTGTTTGTACGTACTTTTTTGTTTTGTTTTCATAGGCTCCAGTGTTCATTGTTTATATACAGACATTGTGTGTTAGCTATTGCCTGTGTATCATATTTTGAAATGCTGTATAAAATGTGTTTGTGTTGATATCAAACATTTCTGACAGTTTCAAGTATTCTTACCAGTTTTGTTTCTTTGCAGCTTTTTCTGCACAAGCGAATCAGCTCTTTACTCCTCATGGTTCTAATCCTTCAACACCTGCTGCTACTCCAGTCCCTACCCCATCACCTGTCAAGGCAATAAGCCATCCATTAGCACCTGCAACTCCACTCATATCTGGGATGAACATGTCTACCCCTGTCCTTCCTGTTTTCCCAGGACAGGTCTCCTCTTCCATCCATACATCTCAGCCATCCACCCCAACCCCTACTGTCATCAAATCCCTTTCATTGCCTGGTGTTCCTGTCACATCTGTTCACAGTGCAACCTCTACCCCTATCCCTGCAGTTTTTTCTGGGCTGGCTTCTATACCCACTGCTACGCCAGCTCCGCAAGGTTCTTCCACACCATGCGCCACACCTGCGCCTAGTGAAGCTTTCGCATCTGCTACTGCACCATTTGCTGGCCTCCCGTTCTCTGCAACCTCTTCAATTGCTTCCGCTAATAATCCCGCTCCATTGTCATCAGTTTTTGCTGGCCTCCCTTTGTCCTTGCCTCCCAATGCCCAAGGGATTTCTAGTCCTGTTCCATCTACAATTGCTAATTCTCCTGCCACTACCATTCCTGGTTCGCTTAGCTTGCCTAACCCAATTTTGTCTGTCTTAAAGGGATTTCTGACATCAAATGACACTTCATTAATCAATTCATCTGCTTTACCTTCTGCTATGACAAGTGAGCTTGCTTCTTTATCTGCTCTTGCTAATCAAAGCTCTGACCCTCCCACTTCCTCTGTCAACAAATGTTATACTCCATCAGCCACCCCCACCCCACAGCGTTCCTCCACACCTGGGCTGGCCATTTTTCCAGGTCTTCCATCCCCATCTGTGGCCAATTCTAGTTCCACTCCTCCAACATTGCCTGCACAGTCACCTTTAACCACTTCACCATCGATTATGCCAGTCAACTGTGGCTCATCAGCCTCCCTCTTGCATGGCACAAGCCCTACTAATCCTGATCAGCAGCTCTCATCAGCCCCAGCTGCCACAAGTATCCCAGTTCTGGTCAAAACAGAACCCATGAGTCCTACCCTTTCGGCCTTCAAGGGTCCTTCTCATTCAGCTGGCCCTTCTCATGGCACTATAGGACTGTCCGCGCTTGGGCGTGCATACACCTCAGCAGCTTCAGTGCCAGTCAGTTTACCCAGTTCCCTGAATCCAGCACTATCAGGTCTCCCCTCTTTGAGTGCTCCTCTAAACAATTCCAGTTCTCTGGCTTCCATTTCCCTCGCCCCACATGGCTCTTCTGCTCCCATTCCCCCTGTGTTCAATGGACTTCCACCTTTTACGTCTCTAACCAGTAACTTTGCTTTTACTGGTAATCCAGCACTTACGCCACCCGTCACTCTCCCAGGGTCTTTGTTAGCTACTCCGTCTACAACCGCTTCAGCCGTGTCTGCCCCTCATGTGAGTTCCACTGCCGCCGTACTCTCAGGACTCGCCGCCTCAGCAACAGTCTCTGCTCCACCCTTCTCGCTTAACTTGTCCAGTGCTGTCCCTTCCCTTTTTTCTGTTGCCCAGGGACCTCTGGGATCATCAAACCCATCCTTCCCTGGTTTTCCTGTCTCTAACACACCCTCTGTCACTCCTGCTCTCCCTTCTTTCCCTGGCCTCCAGGCATCTTCTGCAGTAGCAGCAGTTGCACCGTTGCCGGCAGCTGCCACAGCCCCCTCTCCGGCTCCGGTCCTGCCAGGGGTTGGCCCGGCCTTTAGCTCAAACTTCAAAATTCTGCAGTAAGCAGTTGCACCGTTGCCGGCAGCTGCCACAGCCCCATCTCCGGCTCCGGTCCTGCCAGGGTTTGCCTCGGCCTTTAGCTCAAACTTCAACTCTGCACTTGTTGCACAGGCTGGGTATGTTTCTGAAGGAGATCAGAACCATTTCTTTTTCTCTTGAGCAAAACGCTGGTTTTACTTTAGGCATAGATGTTATTTTCACTCATAGTTAGTAATTACAGTTAATTTTTAAAGTTTGTTCGGTAGATTTCCACCTGTCTTTAGAGACTGATAGTTACTAAATAGGTTGTCCTCAGTAGTCCCTGTTATGACAGTCTAATCCAGTGAGGTGCTGAGTGATCTTATTTCCCAGATGAGGATACTTGGCACCTCCTAGGCTTTTACAAGAATGGATTCCACGTGGGCATCCATTGACACATCCAGGTAATAGCAGACAATATCTTAGATGTTCCTATGTTTTAAGGAAGTACTCAGCATTAACTTTTGTCTGTAAATTTTTTTTGTGTGCAAACTGTAGGTGCAGCTGAGGTACAAAAATTTCTGAGTTCCCTTCTTAGGTGTGCTGCAGACAGTCTTGATTTGTGTGTACAATAAATTGTAGGTGGGTAGAGACTGGGCTTGTTTGGAAATTCTGGCCTTTATGAGGTTTAGAAGAAGAGGTGCTTTTCTAATTTATATAGACATAAGCATACATAGAGAGAAACATAGGATAAAACATGATACAGATGTTTCTAATAATAGCCGCTTCTTGACGTTCTTTCAGCTTGACTTCTGGACTACAGACACCGGGAAATGCAGTTTTTCCTGGTCTTTTATCTCTCCCTGGTATCCCTGGCTTTCCCCAAAGTGCCGCACAATCTTCCTTACAGGAATTACAGCATAGTGCGGCTGCACAGTCAGCACTACTACAGGTAACATACCTATTTGTTAATACTGTTTTGCTTCCAGTAATCGTATGAGCATGTTCTTGGGGTTAGTTTAAGTCGGTAAATGATTAAAACTCCTAGCCTGTTTAAGAACTGATTACAAGGATGATAAAGAACAACTCATATTAACTTCTTACTCAAAGCCAATGTACAGTGCTTCTGGGCATTATGAATGTGATTAGACCCTTTTTGAAAAGTCTTTGTATAATGGGGAGGAGTGAGAGAAAAAAGAAAAGACATTCGAGTGAAATTTTTGCCAGGTTTGTGTTAAATCTAATCAACTGGCCATGTAGTTGCAAAATTTGTGCTCAGTTCCAGTCTCACATTTTAATACTTAAAGCTATTTGTAGAAAACCCCTTTGTTGTGGGTTACGTGCCTCCCTACACACGCAATCAGATTGTCTTGAATTTGTGTCTGCTGTGGTTGTGCCTTTCTCTCGATAAAGCCCACATATACAATTGCTATAGTACAAGCTTGAGGTGACTTTAGGTAACATGTAGTTTCATCATCTCTGTTGTCCATGAAACAACTTCTTTCAGTCATCAACCTATATAAGTTAACTGAAACTGTCATCAGAGTTTGTATTTAGATGTTTAGTTTGCCTTCTGTTAAAAACGGCCTCTGTACAGATTCTGGTAGGAAATCTGTCCTTCTCTACAAAATGCTAAAAGAGGCAGTTGAGTATCTTGAGTGAATGTTTTCTCCCTTCTGTGACACATCAGTTTTTGAACTGGATCAGGTGTCTTAAGTCCTGTTCAATATACAGAATATTGTCAGATACCTTGAGTATCAGGGAAAATAGATTGGAAGAAGCAATTTCTTAGTCTAGGCCATACTCCTTTTGCAGCTTGGGAATTTATTTATTCTCTAGAAATCTATGTATGCAGATTGCATAGAGGAAACATCAGTTTTCTTGTTTACAAGTTACAAACACTTAAAATTAACACTTGGCTATTCGAGCAATGAAGATAAAGTTCAAAGTCAGTGAAATACTACAGCTACCTGATTAAGCTACGCCTTCGAAATCAGATGTGGCTTACTCCACTGGAAAGTAAATGCCATTAACGCTTCTTCATTTTTCTCTCTTAATCCAGCTGCTTTCCTCATTCTCTGGTATTCCAGAGCAATAGTTGCACTACAGATTAACATCTGCGTATAGGCGCATTGCTCACCTCTGTTCTTTGCATACTTCAGATTATACTTTGTTTGTGTTGGCTTGAGTAGGACTGGTATTGTGCCTGAAATTTTGCTCGTTTTAGATTTTTGTTCATTTCTTTGTTTTTACCAGTGCTGTTTCCTAACTTCTTCTCTCCCTTGAAGGCACATTCTGCTTCTGCTCTGGAGAACTATACAGCTCAGCCTGAAGGTTTTGCTAACTATCCGTCAACACCAGGAACACCATTTTCCTTGCAGACAAGTCTGCCCCAGAGTGGATGGCAATAAATACCAGACATTTTTAAAGACTGCAGTGGTTGCTTGACAGAGCCTGATCCTATTCACTTTGAAGGCTGTCTCCGCACTAGTAGGAGCATGGTCTGAATTGGGGAAGGAGGGGGAAAACATGAGGGTAAAATGATTCCAGGAGGCTGTGTCAGATGTCAAACCTTATTTGTGATTGCATTTAATTGATTCAGGGTCTGATCCTGTGAATTGCTGAGCATCCTTGACTCTCCTTTTAGCTTACAAGTTGAACGTTTGGTGTCTTACAGGATCAGGAACGTTCAAACAGACTTTTATGTAAATAGAGCAATTGGCTATCAAACTGAATGGGGAGAACAAGTATACTTAATAGTGCGTATAAGCACCTATCCTGTTATGTTTTGTATGGTATATGTGGTTAATATAGAACGAGATCTAGACTGAAACTAGATACTCCAAGCTGTAGACGATCTTTCGTCTAGATGCACACTTCTTGTGTGTGCATAGATCAAGGTCAGTTTATGGTTCTTTGGATCTTTTCTTCGTATGTGTGAGGATCTCCTGTTAGCATCAGCAGTATGTTCAGGGGAGGCTAGGTCAGAGGGGTGTGGGGGTTTTCTTACGCTTTGAAATATTGTCACGGGCTTGCTGCTGAATTGAGTACTCCTTTGTCTGAATCTGAACAGGAGAGCTAGGAAATGGTGCTGTACTGTATTTGAGTAGAAGTGGATTATGTTTTACTGGAGTATGGTTTAGCTAGCTGAGAATATGTCTTTCCAAAGTACATGAAAAGCATTTTAATTTGCCTCTAAAATAATGTTCCATAACATTCTCCCTGCCCCCACACCTCTCTGTGAATGAAATAACTGTACTGCGGATAGGCTGCCTATCCGGCACTTTTGACTGCAGACTTTTGTGAATGTTTACAGGCATGGGTCAAGTTCTTCTCTCCCTTATACTCATAAACTCACTGGTTCTCTATATGCTTTTTGGCTATGAACCACAACTTGATGGTGCTTATGCTATCTTGTGAATATAAGTGGGAGCAGAATTTGGACCATGGATTTTTTTAGTATTTTTCCTTGGAAAATGTACATGATTTTAAAGGCATATAGCTAAATTAACTGTATTGGTTAGGAAAGGTTATGATGCAGCATATAGAAAGGTCTTGCTTTGTTAGTGAAATTCAGTTGTGCACTCTTCTAATAACGTTAGTACCTGTGGCAATGTGTAACACATCATTGAATATCATCTATTTAAGATAAGCTCTAGAGACAATAGAGATGAATGATATTCAGTCCTGTGATTGAATTAAAACGTAGAGGATACTATACTGTAGAAAAGCTCTGCGCCTAGAGTTCTACTTTTTTAAAGATGAATTCTGCTGGGAGATGTTGCTAATGTATTTTCTTTCAAGATGTGAACAAACTTTTTTAGAACATTAATGGAAATTCCTGTATTGGTTTTTAACACAATTTTTTAAAATAAAAGGTTTACAGTCATGGCAAAAAGGCTTTGCTGACTATTTACATATTTGCCTAAAATACAGATGAATAAACTTGTTTTTACTAAGACGCTTCTTAATGTTTGATCTTGCTTATACTGTTTCTTTATGATGCAGAATTATTTACTGAATTATGAAATTGTTTTCCTAAAGGGTGGCAATGGAAATATCCTATGAAGTGTTTAGATGAAAAATATAAATAGTGTCCTCGATACTTTGTCAGCAATTGGGTAGTCTTGCATTTTAATAATGAAATTTACATATTATTTTAAAGCTAAAGATAAAAACATATTGAACTTTTACATTTTTAAATTTTGCGAAACCTGTTGAATTCTAATGGTTCTCCACTCTGAACTGCTTTTTAAATCAATGCCTTAGATCTTGACTCCAGAAATCTGTGGAAAAAATCTCTACCATTTTTCATTATAATTTCCTTCTCATTCTTTTGATGACTTGTTCTTTGTAGATTTGTACATCAGTTGGAGAAGGAGAAAATAAAAATACAGGTATCTTTTCAAGAGCAAATTGGCTTTTGTTCCATAGATGTGAATGTAGAGTAGTTCGATGTCAGTAAGCATTTTGTAACCTTACTGAGGTGCTGAGTTTGATCTCCAATTTGAGTCCTAGTTTCCCCATCAAGCGGTTGAAGTTTAAACTAATTCACATTACCTTGTAGTCAAAAACAAGTACCAGACATCAGCTGTTATGCAGTGTCGTATCAAAAAGCAAGCAGTTTGTAGGTTGTTTCTGAAAACATCTGTTGAATGGTCATGGGGTATGGGTTGTTGCATTTTTCTGTCCAAATATTAGACAACTTGAGTACCTAGGAGACTGTGAAGGCCTGCTTCTCCAAATGAAAACAGGTGAGAAGTAGTGAATATCCACTGTTACTACATGCTCCCTTGAAACAAAGTACTTGCTAAGTGGTGTCTAGCCACTTTACCCAGAAAAAGAGTATTTCATACCCAGCTGTTGTAGTTTGTAACATCATCAGTGTTAGACAAGTGAACAAATAGGCTAAGAAGCATTAAACTGTCAAGGGTTTTTTTGTGTGCAGTGGGCTCTCTGGTTCTTCCTGAGTCCTATTGAGCAAGATTTTGTAAACTGAACTTTGCATTGGTTAGGATTAAGGTAAGTTTCAATTTCTTAAATACTTCTCCTGGTGTAAAACTGTTTTTCGTTAATTTTTTTCTCTTCAGGAATAAAGTCTGTGTTCTACATTACAGCAAACTCCTGTGACCCAGCCCTTGAATTTCTGAAGGGGGTGATTTGTCCTGAGCCCTTTCGTGCTTACTTGAGCACCATTTTTGAAAAGTCAAGGAAGAGTCTGCTCCTGAGGCAAACTGTGCCAGATCTTACACTGAGCCTGTGCTGGGAAAGGGCTGTTGCTCTATGACTTAATTCTGGACTATGATTTTTTCATTGTTCAAGTTGGCTATTACTGCTGTATTTCAGCTATGTTGACAGACTGCAAAGATAAGGTGTAGTGAAATGTTCTTTGAAATAAAATCTTTTTTCTGCAACTACTAAGAACATATTATTGGGATTGTGTTTGCAAATAAAAGTTTCAGTATTCTTTCAAGGGCTTTAGTTGCAGCTGTAGTGAATATGAGAGAAACAGAGCAATATTCTGTCGTCTTCTTCCTCTGATTTGCAAGTGAGTGTTGTGAGTTTGGCTGGACCTGGAAGGAATGAATGTCCTTGGTATGAATGGTGTGAATGTCCTTAATTTCTGGCAAAATGGCCTTCCTTACTGGATTCAGATGGGAGCAATCCCTTTAATCAACTGCCTCTCATATTTACTCGTGCTCTAGCGAAGTGTAGCCAGAGGGGTGCCTGCTGTCACCTCCCCATCTTCAGCTATTGAAAGCTGATGCCGTTTTCATGAGGAGAAGGAGCAACGTGAGGATGTTCCTGCAAGCAATAGGATGGTACTGTTAATTTTCTCTATGTCATGTCTCTTCTAAATTTTGATCTGGGGGAAAGCAATGATTAGCAAATAGGCTAGTGTCTGTTCTGGGGGCAGAATTCAGGGCCAGGAAAGGACTAGACTGAGAAATCTTTAGGGAGTGGCCAAAGCCCAATGAGTGGTAAGGGAAGTAGTATGGGCCTAAAAAGGTCAGAAAAAGACAAACCAAAACCTACAACTTTGTTATACGCAAGTCTCATGTGATGACTGCCTGATGACTTTTTAGGTACCTTTGGGGTTGGTTGGCACTGTTTAGAAATGGCTGCATGTAAGAATTCCTGTTCTTGTTTTAACAGACTTTGAGGTGGGCGCTTGGTCTGTAGGATTAAGTCTCTGCAACTGGATGATGAGATAAGTGGGAGTGACTGGACACTTTAGGGAAATTGCAAAGGACTGGTGCCTGACCTGAGCCTTTGTGCTGCTTTCAGAGTAGAAGCTGAAGGCTTTAGCTACTTCGGCACACTGCAGAAATAGCTGAACTGCCACCGGCCTGAACCACGTTTAGCTGATGTCGCTTCTAAGTCAGTAACTCCTGCTAAAGTGGCTTTGGACCCAAACTGTTTTTTTTGTGGTACTGCTCTATGACACAGGGCTGTGCCAGGCTGTTCAGCAGCAGTGAACTTGCAGCTTGTAAACTGCTTTGCCCCAGAGCCCTCATGTATTTTCTTCTCTGAGTGTTTTATAGCACTTCTCTGAGTGTTACATAGACATGAGTTATCCACGTGCCCCAGTAGAGCCCAAGAAGAAAGAACTAAGGTTGCCCTGCCTTTGACTTCAAATTTTTGAATAGAAGTGCAGCTGAAGTTAACACGGAGCAACTAATACAGTGATGTTCCTGAACATAGAAGATAAACACCATCTGCTTTAGTCACCTTTACAAGCACCTCAGGGAATTATCAATAAACAGCAGGGAGCAATTATTTCTGTTAGATTTTAATATGTTTTGCTCATCTATCTGATGCTGTAAGCAGCTGTGTAGATTGTGGCATGCAAACGGCTTAGAATAAAGTTGTTTTCAATAAAACTGAGTTGCTCTAAAGTAAAAAAAAAAAGATGTTGCGGTAGTTTGAGATGTTAACGTTTTTGCTTCTGAAATTATTAAAGCACATTTTTCTTCTAACTGTTTACCCTTGCTGCCCTACTGGTAGGCATCTGTCCTGAGCAGGTTTGATCTTACAGCTCAGGGTGAGAAGCCAAATAATGAGGAAAATGCTACAAATTACTTCAAATGGATATTGTCACCTATTTGGGAGGGTATTGCAATAAGCGTGTCAATCCCAGTTTTGCAAGCTGTGCTTATGGTTTTCACTGTGATTTAGAACACCCATTCAATGGTCTAGTTTCCTCTCTGAAGCTGAGAAAGGATTCTTGGGGAAGCACTTGGCTTTGAATGACCTAACTGGGGCCAGTGTGATATACTGGCAGGGTGAAGACTTAAGAGGATGAAGCTGGAGCCAGATCTTCAAAGGTGTTTTAGATGATGGAAGCCTATAGAAAACAGCCATATAATGAATGCAGCTGTTAATGTCAAATGCATAAGTTACATATGAAAAGCCACCTCTCACTTCTTTCTCAAGCAACAGCTTTGTGTCCTTTGAGAAGGCTGCTCTTCACTGCTGACAGCCTTCAGAAGTCATAGAATTATAGAATGCTTTGGGTTGGAAGGGACCAGTAGAGGTCTTCTAGCCCAACACCCTACAGTGAGCAGGGACACCGCTAACCAGATCAGGTTGCTCAGAGCCCCATCCAACTTGGCCTTGAATGTTTCCAGGGATGGGGCCTCCACCACCTCTCTGGGCAAGCCCTTCCAGTGTTTCACCACCCTCACTGTAAAGAATTTCTTCCTTATATCCAGTCTAAACCTACCCTGCTTCAGTTTAAAACCATTACCCCTTGTCCTGTCACAACCGTCCCTGCTAAAACGATTTTCCCCGTCTTTCCTATAGGCTCCCTTCAAGTACTGAAAGGCTGCAATCAGGTCTCCCCGCAGCCTCCTCTTCTTCAGGCTGAACAACCCCACCTCTCTCAGCATGTCCTCGTAGGAGAGGTGCTCTAGCCCTTGGATCATTTTTGTGGCCCTCCTCTGGACCTGCTCCAACAGTTCCATGACCTTGTGCTGAGGGCTCCAGAGCTGGACACAGTACTGCAGGCGAGGACTCACCAGAGCAGAGTAGAGGGGCAGAATCCCCTCCCTTGACCTGCTGGCCATGCTTCTCTTGATGCAGCCCAGGATACAGTTGGCTTTCTGGGCTGCCAGCACACATTGCTGGCTCATGTCCCCCTTTTCAACCATCAGTACCCCCAAGTCCTTCCTGGCATGGCTGCTCTCAATCCTTTCTTCCCCCAGCCTGTACTGATACTGGGGGTTACCCGGACCCAGGTGCATGACCTTGCACTTGGCCTTGTTGAACCTCATGAGGTTCACACAGGCCCACCTCTCCAGCTTGTCCAGGTCATGAGCCATTGACCACTACCCTCTGGATGTGACCATCCAACCAATTCCTTATCCACTGAACAGTCCACCCATCAAATCCATATCTCCCCAATGTAGAGAGAAGAATGTTGTAGGGGGCCATATAGAAGGCTTTACAGAAGTCTAGATAGATGACATCCCTTGGTTTAGTCTGAAAAGCTACGCTTGGTTTGATTGTCAATGTTAAAAAAGTGTGTTTTGTGAAAAATATTCTTATTGGGGAAAATTTTAAGACTTTGGACCTGAAATGTTTCTGCTGTGATTGTTAGGTTATCTAGCACAACAGGGTTCAACCTATTGTCATGTATAGTATCAAGAAGTGTGTGATGAGATATTCTATACAGCCTGGGGACCTCACCTGGAGGATTATTTATGTTTCTAGTGTTTGAGATCTGAACAGTAGCTGAGCCCCATAGTAGTAAGAGGTGTACAGCAGAGGAGCAATCCTCAGTCTCTACCCTCTGGCTTTATAGAATCATAGAATCATTCAGGCTGGAAAAGACCTGTAAGTTCATAAAGTCCAACCATTAACCTAGCACCACCAAGTCCACTGCTAAACCGTGTCCCTAAGCACCACATCTACCCATCTTTTAAACACCTCCAGGGACGGTGACTCCACCACCTCTCTGGGCAGCCCGTTCCAATGCTTGACAACCCTTTTGGTGAAGAAATTTTTCTTAATATCCAATCTAAACCTGACCTGGTGCAACTTGAGGCCATTTCCTCTCATCCTATCGCCCATTACCTGGGAGTAGAGGCCGACCCCAACCTCACTACAGCCTCCTGTCAGGCAGTTGTAGAGGGCAACAAGGTCTCCTCCAGGCTAAACAACCCCAGTTCCCTCAGCCGTTCCTCATAAGCCTTGCTTTATCTTCTCTTTCTGTCTTGTCTTGTTCTTGTTTTTTTCTCTCTGGTGAGAGATATTGCTCATTTGTAGAAATAATTTCCAGACTGGATTTTGTGAGGTGTAAAACCAGCTGGGCCAAGTGCATCCCCAGCCAGAAGGCTGCCACAGTAGACCATGAAGTTACATCAGAGACAACCCTGATCCACAAGACTTTGGTTTTGTACACATCCCCTCCTCACCAGGGTAACTAACTCACAGGAGACTCCCGTACAAGTGGGGATTTCTCCTTCTCTTGCCCTGCCTCTCTTCAGCGCTTTGCATGAGGGCTGTGCTGTTTCAAGGTATGCTGTCTCGTCTGTGAGGGTATCAGAGCTTCCCTCGACTGGGATGGATCCCCAGAGAGAGACGCCCAAGAAAAACAACACAGAACATCTAATTGGTAAGCCTCGGGTTTTGTGTGTGTGTTTCTCAATAATAATAAAAAGGAGCAAAACTAACCAAACAAAAGAAGTACGTTTGAATCCAGGCATTCATCATGTCTCCCACACAGGCTGGAGATAAAAATTCAGTATCTGCCACTGTGAGTGACAGAGCAAATTACTTTGTACTGCCCTGCCAGGGGCTAAAATGGCCGATTCAGATATTGATACACTTCTGTATGTACGGATAGAGTAGAAAGGGAAATATATGAGTTAGTTAGGGAAGGCAGAAGACTTTTTCAGCCCCAAAAGGACACTTGATGTGTTTGGACTTGTGTGATGGGCACCTGGTGGTCTCTTCAAGCAAGGGAACTACTGCCAAACCAAAGTAGTTACTGACAATGTGTGCTGTTTTCACCGTTGTGTCTGGCGGTTAGTATGGATAGCACAGTGGGACAAGCGTGATGATCAGCAGGATTGATTTGGGTGCTTGCAGAAAGCAGGAGGGTACACAGTGGTTGCAAAATGCTGAGGCTACTCCATCTCTCTGTTGCTGTAGGAGACTTGGGAGATTTTTGCCCACCGTTCTTTATATTCTTCACAAGACAACTTGGACATAAGCTTTTCATTTGCTATTCAAGTTTGGTACCCACATCATGGTTTTGTGTATCAAGTGTGTTCATGATCATAGAATCATAGAATCATTTAGGTTGGAGAAGACCTTTAAGATCATCGCATCCAACCGCAGATGAGTGTGTCAAGAAAAACCA